GGTTTTACAACAATTGGTATCAGAGCTTCCAGGTTTGAGTATTGATTTTTGGGAATTATTTATCATCGCTTTATACGATGACTTCAGTAAAGTCCGATATTCCAAGGCTCGATCGRAATACTCGATTTCCACTATGGCAAGTGCAGATGAGGGACGTTCTAATTCAATTGGAACTCGATGAGGCTCTCTTGGGTTTTGAGAGAATGCCAGCGGCTTGGACCGACGACGAGAAGAAAAGAAAGGATTTGAAGGCTCAATCTCAAATCCGTTTACATCTATCTCATGATGTACTGCAAGATGTGTTGAAGGAAACTTCAGCGGCGGCTTTATGGTTGAAGTTGGAGCAACTATTGATGACGAAGAGTCTACCGAACAAGTTACACTTGAAGCAACGTTTGTTTTATCTCAAGATGGTTGAAGGTAGTTCATTGTCTATCCATTTGTCCACATTCAAAGAATTGGTCGGCAATTTGGAGAATATGGACGTGAAGTATGAAGACGATGACTTAGCTTTATTCTTGTTATCATCGCTGCCCTAGTCTTATAGTCACTTTCGTGACACGATCATGTATGGCCGTGACACACTTGTGTTGGATGAAGTGATTACGGCTTTGGATTCAAAAGAGAAGATGAAACAAATCACGAATGGTGGTTCTGAAGCGAAAGCTAAAGGTCTATATGTGAGATCCAAATAAAAAATAGAGCGAAAATTCTGCAATTACTRTCACAAGAAAGGACACGTAATTGACGAATGTTTCAAGTTGAAAAACAAAGAGAAAGAAAAGGCGGCCGCAAAAGGTAAGCATATTCCCGATTATGGTGAAGCTGACGTGGCCAAGGTTGGTTCTGATGGAGAACTTCTTACAATATCTGRAAGTGGATCATCAATTTCAGATGATTGGATTMTTGATTCCGGATGCACGTTCCACATGTRTCCCAATAGAAATTGGTTCCATACATATGAGGACGTTGATTGTGGCTCGGTTATGATGGGCAATGATGCCTCATGTCTTATCAAAGGATTGGGCACGATTAAAATTCGGATGTGCAATGGAGTTGTTAGAACCTTGGGGAATGTCAGGTATGTTCCCAATCTTCGGAGAAATCTTATATCCCTTAGTACTCTTGAAGCTAAGGGTTATAAATTCGTTGGCGAGAATGGCTTACTCCAGGTGTTCAAAGGAGATACAAGTATTATGAAGGCAAAACGTAAGTCCTCAAATCTCTACATCTTGGATGGTCAAACGGTTACCGGGTGATGCAGCGGTTGTTTCTAAAAGTTTTTCGGATACGGATCGATCACGCTTATGGCATCTTCGACTTGGCCATATGAGTTTTCATGGCATGTCTGAATTGAGTCGAAGAGGTGCACTTGGAGGAGATAAAATTGTTGAGCTAGAATTTTGTGAAGAATGTGTTTATGGCAAGCAAAAGTGGGTGAGATTTATGAGTGGAAAACACACGACAAAAGGGCCACTCGATTACATCCACTCGGATCTATGGGGACCGGCTCGGGTTACTTCCGTAGGTGGAGCTTYCTATATGCTTACGATTATTGATGACTATTCTAGAAAGGTATGGTCTTTCTTTCTAAAGCATAAAGGAGATGTATTTTCAACTTTTAAAGATTGGAAGGTGATGATTGAGAAGCAGTCGGGTAAGGAGATAAAGTATTTGCGCACCGACAATGGTCTTGAATTTTGCTCGGAGGATTTCAATACTTACTGTCGAAAGGAAGGCATTACACGACACCGCACGGTGGTCCACACTCCGCAGCAAAATGGTGTGGCCGAGAGGATGAACCACACGATTCTCGAGAAGGTAAGGTGTATGCTCTCTCATTCTAAGCTACCAAAGTCTTTTTGGGCGAAGGCGGCTGCCACTGCATGTTATGTGATCAATCGGTCACCTTCTCGAGCCATTGAGAAGAAAACCCCGTTTGAGCTTTGGTCTGGTCAAATTGCCGACTACACAGATTTGAAACCGTTTGGTTGTCCGACGTATGCACGAGTTGACAACGGGAAACTAGAGCCGAGAGCTTTGAAATGTGTGTTTCTTGGATATAAACCGGGTGTGAAAGGCTACAAGTTATGGAGTTCTGAGCTAAAGAAGGTTATCATTTCAAAGGATGTGACTTTTGATGAAACCTTCATTATTCATCGAGCTACTAGCTCGACATCTACTGTTGAGAAACCATCGGAAGCAAGTAAGAAGACATCTCAAGTTGAGGTGGAGTTGACAACATCTTCTACCGTTCCACTAGTTTCTTCACCGGTTCCTACA